CCATGATGCTAAAATATCTGCTAATCTATTTACTACATTTCCCGCGTTAATTCATTTCGTTAATTTATTACTGATTAATTTTCCTGATAAATTTCAAAGCCGGAAGTGAATTTTAAAATGGCAGTACATGAATAATTAAAAACTCGCCCCAGTCTCTTTCTATAACCTATATCGCGGACAGTTAAAGTATACTCTGTATATTGTGTCAGTAAGGTTATATCCTATATATTGATGTGTACATAAGTTATACTTTATATCACGAGCTACCTCGCGTATCATATCTTATATCGGAGGGGTAAATTTTAATATACTTTATATCACGAACCATTTTTATTTTGTCAGGTTTGGCGCCCCATAATAAATCACCACAGCTAGAAAGAGCATACTAAAATTAGTAAAATTACAAAATTTGGTTGCGAAATGTTGTAAAATGTGGAAAGTATAGCCTTGCAAAGTTTGCAAATTTTGTATACTTTTGTATTGCGTGCGACCATTTTCGGCCTAAATGTGGTAGGAATGTGGTCGGAATTTCCGCAAGCAATGCAAAAGTATACAAAATTTGCGAACTTTGCAAGGCTATATTTTCCTCATTTTACAACATTTCGCAACCAAACTTTGTAATTTTACTAATTTTAGTATGCTCTTTCTAGCTGTGGTGATTTATTTGAGTTTTCTTGCCTAATTTCAAAATTAGTCTATAATGGGAATTGTCTATTGGCTGTATATATAAATACAGTGGAATCCCTACCAACGAAAGCTTGTTCATATTATTGGCACTACCTACACTGGCAAAGACATGTTCAAGATTATATTTTTTAAAAACGCTTGTTTTAGATTCGAATATTAAAACCGGGGCGCTGGAATGTAGCCTTTAGTCATACAAAATGGAAGCACTGGAATGCTGCTTTGTGACAACCTTATAATTGAATTCCCCTAAAATTAACATATATTTCTTGCTTCGTCGAACACTAAATTGTTTGAAGATTGATATCGCAATAATTTTATGTCATAGTGTAATGACTGGCATCCGGAGTTTTGTCTTTGTTCTGCGTTTATACTTTCTTTAACGTCTGATGTTTGTGAATTAGAACTTGGGTAAATTATATTAGATAATGCTGGCAAGCTGAAGAATAGCGTTGAATTGAACCGTAATAGGAATTGAACCCACCACTATGATTTGCTACTGCAACGTTCTATACCAACTAAGTTATAGATCAAATTCGAGTGGGTGATATCATGGAACTCTGTCTTGTTCTTTCAACCCCTATATTTTATTATTATATGTCTGATGAAATAGCAAACAATGTGTCGCAGATCCAATTTCTACAGCGGTCACCTTGCCAGATGTGTTCAGTTTAACCCGCCTGCATTGGGCCAGTTGTTCAACCTACTGTTTTTTGAGTGTTTCAAAAATTTGGAAAATAAAACTTCCGTTTATCCAGACAAGATTTCTAGAAAAAGAATTTCCATGTTTAATTAAAAGCAAGCTGTTCGGGAGATTGCTTTGAAGAATTACTTAACCTAGGATTAACCTAACAGACGTTTGAACTAAGTAAACGGCTCTGATTGCTTAAGGAGCCTTGATTTATAGTGCCTGATTATATGAAGCATGTTAGCAAGACATCTGGGCTGGTGGAACGAATATTTTGGTGTGTTCATAGGGTTTTTCATCCGACCTCAACGAGATTACATCCAGCTTGCCAAAATGAATTTCCATGCATGCAAGTACGCGCGTGTGCTGGATTTGTAAAACTCGCACGCAACACAATTGATGATTACACTAAGCTGTTCCAGTAACATAATTTAATTAAGGTGATTCCGCAGTTTTGCATTGCGCACTTTTACTGCGCACATCTTATAACTTATAATTTCATCCATTATACGTACCGTTTAAAAAAACCCATTTTATGACAATTTTATGTCACTTCAAAACATCTTTGGTTACATTCGTGCAAAGAATTACGTTAAAATCAATGTTTTCAAAAAAGGCATACAAAAGTGTAGCTAGGGTTCCCTGTGTCTGTAGTATATTTATTTACTTGTATTTCACGTTTTAATGCCACAATTCCCTAAAAAGATCGGTGCATGACCCCCGTTTTTTAACTGATAATTTATTTCTTTAATGCATTTTGCATTTCATATCCGCAATTAAAAGAAAAATCATTTCTGGATCTTGAAAAAAATCCTTTATCAATGCATATTCTCAAAGAAAGATATGTAAAGAAATGTGGAAAAGAGATTTGTGGATCAGAATTGTACACGTTAGTAGTTTCGTTTTGCTCAAAACACAATATTTTTTCAAAAATAATTACAAGATATCTTTGCTAAAAACATCAATAAATTTCGGGCTGTTGTGATTTTGCTGTTACTCGTAATGAGCGTCAAGATGGCGCCATATTGGGGTAAAGGTGGTATATTGTGATTGTCATATCTTCTTAACGAGTTCGGTGACCCCGACTTTTTTGTGTGATTTACTTTAAGTATATCACAAACTCCATGCCTGGGAAGTTTCAGCACATTCTCATTTCGGGAACAATTACTGCGGAATTACCTTAAGCATATCACTCAATTGAACTGAAGAGTTGAAGAATTTTGTATAGATGGAAATTTCGCGTGTGCATGTTATACATTTTTTTAGACCTAATGAGGAATAGCGTATTAGGAACAAGCCTTCGTTGGTAGGGATGCAACTATTCCTGAAAAGTATAATCTCCTGATATTTTTCAGGCAGTTGCATGCCTACCAACGAAAGCTTGTTCATATTCTTGGCACTACCTACACTGACACAGACAGCTCTAAATATAGAGCCTATAGTTGCATGAAAACGGGTGTAGTAATACGAAAGATGCAAGTTGCACCACCCGTTTAGATACCTGCCTGTCTGCTATTGACAAAAAATAGAACGAAACGTGAGCAAACAAATTGTATTCTTTATCGTTATGTCCTGTTTGAAGCTGGGCTTTCATACTTAATATCTTTAAATTGCACTTATAGACAGTCTAAAGACAATGAGTTCTGAAGGTTTGAATAATTTAAAAAATGCAATGCATGCATGACCATTTACTATGCCAGCTTCGCTACTGACTTATTGAAAAGCAAATGGTATCTAATTTGTAAAACATTCTACCCGTTGAACTTTTGAGTGCCAAAACTGAAAACAAAAATGATGCAACTCCCTCTTCCGATTGTAGCCACAACGTTTGAATATTGCTGATATTTTGGCTATGAATTAATTTAATCCCTAAAAACATATCTCTATATGTTGGAAGATTCAATATCCAGAAGTAGAATGCGCATGTTCTTACTACCGTACCACAACGCCCCTTTCCTAACCTTGTTTATATATTTCTTAATATCTTACCATAATTTCACTTTTATTTTTTGTAGATGTCGATATTTGCAATCCTCGTGTTTGCTGCGCTCGTTACTCAGAGCAGCGCAAGTAAGATTTTCTAGTATATTAATAATATAAGTAAACAACTTGCTTAAGTTTTACTCCGTTTGAAGTGCAATGCGAAAAGTAATTCAGTATTATTGAAAGAATTTCAGAGCCAAAAAGGTGCCACAAGAGGCAATTCAAGGTTAGAACACCCTCGCGGGCATCAAGCCTTGTAACGTCATTATGCATAAGGTCTATTCAGAGTTTTTACTGCGCATCCAGATGACGCGTTCTGCGTCGCCATAAATTGCAGTTGAATCATGACATGTAGCAAAGACGCAGCATGAGCTCCACCTTTGAATTTACTATATGAGTAAATTCTTAAATAAATCATAATCGCGGCAAATTTTGAATTTATCATAATAATAAATTCGCGGCACCTAACACTAACCCTAACCCTAACCCCACCCTAACCACTAACCCCTAACCACTAATTCCTAACCACTAACCCCTGACCCTAACTTTTTAAACTTTTTAAATTTTTTTAACTTTTTTAAAAATCTAACTTTTTTAAAGGTTTTTTTCGCTTTTTAAAACTCCCCACCCCACTTTGAAAAACTCCCCACCCCCGCGCGACCAGTCTCCCTTTTAGTGCCATTACATTTATAACAAGATATCTTGTCTAATGCTTGTGGTTTTATGATTAACTCTATTGATAAATTCAAAATGTGCCGCGAATTTATCATAATGATAAATTCGAACGTGTTTAAGAATTTACTCATATAGTAAATTCAAAGGTGGA